AGCTATAGCTATAGCTATAAGGAAAGACAGAGAGCGGTTATATATATCCGTCTCCGTCTACTGCTCAAAGTTGGCCGAAGCGCCGAGCGCACACGGACACGGCTGTTCGCCTGTGTGCGCATCCCCTCCACTTGCTGTTGCATGCTGCAAAAGTCTTGAAACTGGCATCCCTGCGCGGTGTCTTGGCTGAGCCGGTCGCGCGGAGAGTCAGTCGCACTCGGATGCTCAGCAAGGCTGCATCAGTACAACGAGTGACACTCATTGTATACGCTTGTTGTGTAAAAATCTATCTGTATAAATAAAAAACTTTTGAGTATAAAAAAAAAAAAACAATTGTTCGAGTTGGTGAGGCGTACTCCTGGGTCCCTGAGGAAAATTCAACGCAGGCTGGACAAACAAAAGGGCTCCTGTGTTATCGTCTGGTGAGTCAAAAAGCGTGAAGTGTATGACTAACCAGGTTTTCTTGTTTTTCTCCTAAAAAATAAGTGGCGACCGTGATCTCTGCGCGTCGGGAAACCAAACGGGCCGGTCACAACGTCAAGGGTTACTGGTGAGAATAAAAAAAAACTGTCAAGTAAAATATAAAAAAAATTTATTCTAAAGAGAGAATAAATTAAAAAGAAATAATAAAAGGAAATCCCGGCTAACGATAAGTGGAAACGGGTTCTCAGCACCTGAAACAAAAAAAAATAACAGAGTTAATAATACTAGCAAATAGTGCGAAAAGTGAATAGAGAATCACTGTTCAACGCTCACGATCTCGGGTTACGCACGGAACTGATCTACCGCAATAGTAAAGTGAGCCGTGGTATAAGCGGAGTAGAAGCAGCGGACGAGAAACAAGAAGAAGAAATAAAATTCTTTGCAAGTACTCCGAGGAAGTGTCAACGAAGGAACCACTATCCTGGACGCATAAAAAGACCGGTAGAAGAAAAGAAAACTTCGGCAAAGTGAGCGACATCGAAAGCGGCAACCAAAGCGGCAGCGTGCAGCGGCAGCGTACGGCGGCAGCAGACAGCGGCAGCGTACAGCGGTAATAGCAGCGTCAGCAGCAGCGGCGGCGACATAGGAGCCGACGACCTACATAGACAGCTGCATTACGCAAAACAACACTCAGCAGGCGAGGAAATGAGAGCGCTAGCGTAAGTCGAAAAATTTGTAGTAACGTTTTGTAAATGTCCGAAAACCGGCAAAAAGGTTGCCCGGAAAAACGTGACGGAACTCCGCTCGTGAATATCGAACGAATAAGAATTTAATACCGACACCGGAACCGCGAACTGCTCCGGCGAAACTAGAGGCACATACGTATAGGCGCCGGTTGAGATTCGAAGGTGACACAGAATCACAATCAAACGTAACTATTGAAAAAGAGTTCGAGATAGAGATAGACCGGAGTATCGCTGAAAACTTATTAAGGGGGGAAGACGGTAATAGCGAACCTACTTCTTTAAATCAAAGCGAAATGTTCCAGGCGGGCGGAAATAACCTTGCGTCAGATTTAGATAACACGGAAAGGGCTCTGGACATAGAAAGTGT